CTTGTCGGCAGAAGCACAGGAATGGTGAAGGTGGACCTCGAACTCTGGCCCAATGGGCCCGCGACGCAACTTCGGACACAGAAAGCTCTAGCACGTTACTGTGGGGCAAACGGGCAAGGTACCGATGACACCCCATTGGCCGCAGGATCCGCCGGAGACTACTAGTGAGAAATATCGGAGCCCAAACGGATTTTTCAGATTCAGACATTGGCCCTGTTTCAGGGGCTGGTGTGCATCGCGGCATGTCCCATTGTTCTGGACTAAATAAAACAGGTACTCTATTTCTCCCGACAGCTTGACTTTGTTTTCGTTGTTGTTGTCAGCCCACTTGTGGTATTTGCTAAGTTGAATTTTTGCAGGAGCCGCGGACAACCCTCCCTTGGGTGACTGACAAAGGGAGACTGAAGGGTTGGTCGAACGTGCCGGCAGGACCCACCTTCTGGTCGACACCGGGACAGGTAGCTGTTGGTTTCGAATGGTCATTGTTCTTTAGGACCGCCTGCATTGTAGGACGGGTACTCCAGAATTTTCTACCCCCATTCGCCCAGCCTAAATCCCGGCCCATACGCCCCCAGAATTTTGGAGTGCCCCACCTTTGCTGATTTTTAGTACTGATTTCTGACGAGGAAAAAATCCCGAGAAGTTAGCAGAGAAGTTAAGAATGTGACTTCTAGGTTTGAGCTCGTTAGAGGGGGGGGTAAAGATAACCAAGCAAATTTTTGGGCCAAACCAAATGCAACTCTCTCTCTCTCTCTCTCTCTCTCTCTCTCTCTCTCTCTCTCACACACACACACACACACACACACACACACACACACACACACACACACACACACACAGAATACTGACAAAAAGCTGTGTCCCAAATGGTTTCAAGGGGTATTCAACCATTGCCACATCTTTGACAGTCAAACATCAATATTTTACGGCACTCGTTAAGACATGAAATACCAAAAAACAAAAACGGGGTTGGTGCCTTTGGGTTTCTCTCTTGCACTATATTTGTTTTTTGGGGAAACTGCTCCTGATTCACCTTCTTAGTTTGAACTTCGAATTTTGAAATAGGCAAGAAAAGAAAAAAGTGCCCGCCCCCCATGTCATTTTTTTAGATTCAAAATACGCAAGTTTAGCAGGAGGTTGAGACTAAGCAGCGGTTTTTTGAAGTTCCGCGACTCCGCGAACGCAGATTTAGCAGCGGCTTTTTTTTGCCCTGTTTTTTTTTTCGAGAACTACTAAAGTTGCCTAATATTCCAAACGCTAAGGTGTGACCCAGGAGCCGTTGCCCCTGGTATATTTTATATATTGAAGGTTTCACAATATGTTCCCTGTATTCTCATGAGGTTTGCTGGGTGTGGTTCCCAGCACGAGTCGCTCCCCACGGATAGCTCAGAGCATTGCTCTCCGCGCGCCCCCCCCCCTCCCCCCAAAAAAAAGAACAACAATGACAAAAAGCCAAAGAGAAAAAAGAGGCTTTTATGCTATGGATCGGGTCCATCCATCCATAAGGTTTTGTGTTTATGTATGGGGTTGCATGCCAAACATCAGGCGCGCACGGAGGAATTTCCAGCTTTTGAACCACCAGTGCGTGGCGGCCGTGGCACTTCTCCTCAAACGAGCCAACGCACCGACGTATGGACTGGTACGTTCATCGTCGCAGCAGCTTGCATACCGCCGCGACTTCAGGAAGTACCGGTGTTTCAAACATACGCTGCTGCTCTTACGTCTCTGAAGCATCTGTCGACTGGATTAAATCATCAGTTCACACAAACTTAAGTAATTCACCCTGCTGCTCTTTGCTCGCGTCTCTGAAGCATCGGTCGACTGTTTTTTTTTTTTTGTGTGTAGTCCGATGGACCACGGGTCAGATATTAACTAATCAGAAGATTCAGAACAGATACTACACTTGATCTTAGCCAAATGGCCGAATACCAGTATGTGTGTGGTAAGAAGATTTCAATTCGGGACTCGGCCGGTATCAAAAACGGCAGGCCACTTCGAAAAGGCACAGCCGCCGGCATGCGAGCCTTGGAAGGAACTTTCATCAACTTAGGCTCATGTGACCGGTGGTTTACACGGAGGCCGGCCCTGGCCTCGTGCGCCGGCCAGATATATCCCGTAAACTGCCAGTGCTTTTCCCAGGCAAAAACAAAAAAAGGCCCGCGGTTCACACAGGCCCGGCCGGGGCTCGCACGCCAGCCAGACAGATACATCCGGTATCATTCGTGGGCAAGCCCCACGGCCAATATATGGGAAAGATACTGGCGGTTCAATACCACCTACCTGTTTTGTGCGAAGATTGCAGACACGCATGTTGGCGATCAGTTGTCATTGTTGGGGTCATTATGCGGCGTTTGGTTCAGATTCTGTTCAATCAGAATTTAAACTGCTTTGAAAGACGTCTCTCCCTTTCTGGGAAATCTGCTTTGAAAGAAGTCTCCTTTTTAGGTTGTGTTTCGACTTGTGCTGCGCTGCGTTGGGCTCAACTTAGTGCCGCCCGCCACAACTCACTACATGCGCAAAAGACAAAAAATATGGCGGCGTACCTTTCCCTGTTCTGGCAGAATATTCATTCTCATTTTTCACGTTTGGTGGGTGGCGGAGCGAGGCCCTTTTGTCTGGGCTTCGTATTATCCATTGAAGGAGTCGACTCCAACCGATTTGCGCCAGAGCAGATTTGTTCTCTCCCCACAGTTGGTCGGGAGAAAATGAGAAAACAGTTCAGAAGCATAAGGAAGGTGAACAACAAAAAAAAAGAAGATGCGGTCTTCCCCTGTTAGACACTGGGTTCCAACATATTCAAGCATCCTTAACGAGACGGCCTTTGCATCTTCAGTTCGCTTGCATCCAAACCACATGCAGAGCACCGGCCTTGCACTTATATTCGCCGCAGCTGCGCACCGGCCTTGCACTTATATTCGCCGAAGCCGGATCGTAGGACTGATTACAAAATAAAAAAACAGTCTCGGGCAAACTAGTCACTAAAGGCTCTCTGATCATCCTGGGTTAAATAGACCCCTACCCAAATTTTCAAAACATGAAAGGGTGTGCCTCTCCACTACTTTCCTTAAACCACTAGTACATTTGGCGTCCGATTTCGCCGAGTTTTGGTGTCGGGCCCAACGACAGCTGCCGCTGAGAAATCTGATCGGCAGCCGTCGTTTCGTTTCAGCCTCCGGCCGAGTATTTTCAAACCGACAAAGGTACAAGTGGGTTAAATGATGACAAAAAAAAAAAAAAGAGTGCATCTCCGCTACCTTCCCAAAGAGTCAAAAATGGTTTAGCGTACCTTCATCACTCTCTTGAGTGTGTATCTCCACGAGTCCTCCGGAAGTCGCCACTGGTGAGAGGACGGATTTCTGCTACAGTCTTCCCCCCAATACAACGTACGGTCATTATAGCTGAATTTGGTGTATCTTTCAGTGTAAATTCAGCTATAATGACCGTACGTTGTATTCGGGGGAAGACCGTAGTCACCGAGTGTGAAAACAGTCCCCTCGTCTTTTCACTGCTTGCCATTCGAAAAAAACGCTCTCCAAAACTGTGCTCCACATTTCAGAACGGTGATCGTGTTTCCATATTTGCACCGCAGCATCCTATAGCGGTCTATATTCCTTTCCACTTCTAACCACTTACCTCTACAATTGTTCTTTCGCCTTTTTTTCTTCTCGGTTTTCCTGGGCAGCCAGGTCTATCCAGGCCCAATTGCCCGGGGAAGGCAACCAGGACATACCAGCGGGATCGCCACCACCCTAGGCTACCCGCCGGGCCGCCCGGGTCACCCTATTTTCCCTTTCCCGGGCGGCCCCGCCGGTCCCAGCCAAACAAACAAAAAAAAAAAAGAAAAAAAATAGAAACAACTATGCTATGCAGAAAAATAAACTGAACAACTTTTGCCTCAGGGTCTTATCGAAATTCTTTATCAAAATTAAGCTAATATTTGAAATGAAAAACATATATACTTTTAAGTTTTAATAGTTTTCATATTCTTTTACTTCTTTTTGGCCGGCCGGACAAGTGGACCCGGGCCACTCTGGTAACCTAGCCACCACCCCTTTWTTTTTTTTTTTTTTTTTTTTTTTTTAACGGCAGGACTGTACTGCATTGCTTTTCTAATGGTGGGGCTGTCTGTAACACTCCCAAACCAAGACGCATCCATTTCCTTGGTAGACTTTTTTGCTGGGGGAGGTTTCGCCCAAAGGGTCTTTATCGCTGGCTGCAATGAGACTGAAAGTTGTACCGGATTCAGCTGTAATGATAGGACTGTATACACCAGTGAAGAAGGGTTCGTGTCATCGACGCTGGCCCACTTTCGGCCAAGACGACGCCCCCTGCATGCTTCGGACTTCAGGTTGGGCTGTCTGGAAAACCGGCTCCCTTTTCTTTTCTCGAAAACAGTGGGATCTGGGCCATCCCTTTCAAATCTTGTGCAGTTCGACCAGGTGATCTTCAGTCCAGTAGCCCGGGCAGGCATGCCAGGCAGGTGCTGCCCGGTGCTCAGGCAGCAGTGCACCTCGACACGTAGCCAGGGTTTTTCTTTTTTTTCTGTTTGTTTTTTTTTGTCCCCTTTCTTATTTTGGGTGCCCAACTTATGGACAATGGATCAGATACTGAACTGATCAGATTTTTTTTATTTTTTTTTTTGATTTTTTTTTTCCTGCTTGCTGATCAAGTAAAAGTCTGTGATGATTTTTCAAACTTTTTTCTGTACCGTTACCAATTTCGAGACTGCCTGAACGGGCCGCATTTTGCAGATACAAACACTCAGAAATGCACCACGGGGGAGCAAAAGAAGACCTTCACTCACCTGAAAGCAGTGGCGGTCCCCGCATCATTGTTGTTCACTCGCTTGACTCACACGACTCGCTCGACTTACACAGGGGCATAATCGGCACTTGTGGGAGGAGGAGCGGGAGGAGGGTGGTTTGGATGTGGAGGGGGTTGGCGGGAGGGAGGGAAGAGGAGGGGGGAGACGGGGGAAGTAGACGAGAGTACACATTTGCCAGAGGGCAATTTCAATTTTCCCGACTTCCCAAATTTTGAAATGAAAATCAACTGCCCGGCAGGCAGACATGCATTTCACCGAACGCATCTAACAGATTCACGGAAACACTACAGTTACTAACGCTCAGAGAGAAAGAGAGGAAGGGAGGAAGGAGAGGAAGGAGAGGAACGAGGGGAGAGGTGCAGGTTTCACTGTTGCTCTCGCATAACGACAGACATCCCTACGAGCTCTACTGCGTATCACCCTAATGCAGCATAGATACCAGAATCCTATCCACATCACGACTGATCCGTACCCCCTCTACCAACTGCAAAATTGTCAGTGCTCTACGTCAGCGTGTGATCACAATGTCGTCGATCTTGAGAATCATCCTCACACACTCGGCAGCAAGACTGATTGCACTGGTACTCACAAGAAGCGGCTGAACAACATTCTCCTCGAGGATGTTCGTTACAATTCCTTTCCGCACATTAATTCCCGTATTCACCTGCGATCCCAAGAGGACGTCCCACACAGACACAAAGGAAGAACACATTCACAATGCCATTATCGCATCTCCAGGACAAGAGCAAGAATCCCAAGATCGAAACAGGTTTAATCCACCTCATAACAAGAATGGAAAAAATAAGAAAGAAAAAAAAGAAAAAACAGGTATCATCCTGCGGCACCTGCACTGCTATGCGTACATCACAGCATGCTTTATTCACCTGCTGCGTTCGTTAAGCTATGGCGGGAATGAAAAAGAGAGAAACCGAAAAAAAAAAAAAAAAAAGTGCCTTGTCGATATACAGCAGCAGTCAAAATTTTACTCGAGACGTGAAAAATAATGATGCCTACTATAGAATAAAGAATTTAAATTTACCATTTGTTTGTCAATCTGATTCATTTATACTTATTTCATCTATAATTATAAAAATGAAAAACCAATGATAAAAATACAAGATACCTAATACGACTACAGTATTAATCATATTTAATTAGATTAATACCTATATTACCAATGGTCCGGAGATCGGACGTCTCCCCGGACGTAAGGTATACCCGTCGTCCGGATTTCCGAACAACGACTTTTTGGCACTAAAAAAAATATATATATGACAGTGTTGCGCATGCCATACAGACCCCCCATAAAAAAATTCAGAATTTTCTGAGCATTTGGTAATAGGGTGCTATTTGGGGTGGGACGGGGGGGGTACTAGGGGTTTTGGTGGGGATAGGAGGGGTATAGGTGGGGATTAATAATGAAAATTTATGCACTCGCACCACACTAAAGATGTGGCAGCGCTTCGTGCAACTTCGATGGCGTATCGATATTTATTCCTGAATATTATATTTAGTATTAATCTAGGTTGTTTTATCGGACGTCCGGGACCCCCCTGACCGTCCGGGATGTCCGACCGGACGTCTGGTTGGACGTCGGACTGGACGGGATGTCCGACCTAGCGCAAAAAAAAAATAAATAAAAATAAATAAAAATAAAAATCATGTGGCTTCTACCTTGCATAAGGTGTATGCCACCAAAATTTTGGCTCGTTTGAGCCAGTAGAAAAAAAAGATAAAAATCTTCAAAGATTTTTTTAAAAAACGATTACTGCCTAGGCTACCAGCCGGGCCGCCTGCATCCTGGGTGGCCAGCCCGTGCAAGGACCAGGGATGGTCCCAGCAAAAAAGAAAAGAAGAAAAAAAAAATCCGAAAAAGAACTACGTTATGCATAAAAATAAACTGAACAAAGGTCCCAGCAAAAAAAAAAAAAAAAAAAAAAAAAAAAAAAAAAAATCCGAAAAAATTACGTTATGCTGCTTATGCAGAAAAATAAACTGAACAACTTCTTCTTTTTTTTTTTCTATATTCTTCTCTCAACTTCTGTTTTTGCCTTTCACTACCTACTCCTAAGGCTATCTAGAGGGGACCCCTGCAAGCATAGTTTCCTATCACTGTGAAGGGGAGATTTCATGTTGCCCCTTGCCCCTAATGTTTGGGGTATAGGGTTGGGGCCGCCAGTGGGGGTCTGGCTAACACAAAGMCCGAGMCCTGCCAGTAGCTGCGCCTCCCTTTCTCATCGTCCCCCACCCCTCATCCAGTAGCAGCAGTAGTTATGGCCAACACTCTCCCACACACCACACACAACCCACTCGCGCTCGCACTCACACCCATGTTGAACAACTTTTGCCTCTGAGTCACATCAAAATTCTTCACCAAATTTAGAATAAAAAATAACATTAAAAAATATTTCTTCAACTTTCTTTTTTTTTGGCCCGGCCGGGCAAGTGACCCCGGGCCACTCTGGTACCCTAGACCACTGCATTTAATTTCTCATATTAAAATACAATGACTAGTTCATGAATGATGAATTCTCATATCCAGAAACATCTAAAACAATGATTAATTTTGATTAGTGCATGAATTTTCATATTGGAAAACAATGAAAGAGCTTCCAGTCAACAGCGTTCTTGTACCACTGCAAGGGCCTCACTGCACTACTCTCGATCAAAATGTGCAAAAGGAGAGTGAATCTTCCCCTAGAACATGGATAGATACATCGCCGTGATTTTTGTCGTTTTGTGCATTTCAAGAGTAGTGCAGCGAGGGCCCAAGTCAATAGGAGGGGACTGTCTTTAACTGGCCAACATTTGGCGACAACAATCTCCGTCCTTCAGTGCTCTGTGTGGCACAGTGAAGCTGTGGCCTGCACGCAAACCGAGACTCGCAAGAAAATCCAGCGGCCTGAAGTTCAGACGACATGGAGGAGAATCCAACCAAAAGAAAAAACTGCCCAGCTCATCAATCTCAATTACTCGAAGAAAAATACTACCTCCTCACACCGCCACCACAAGCCCCCACCAAAGACCACAGAGACCAACAGATGCGAAGCAGTTGGTACACCCACGAACGGTTAAAATGGCAGAAGGTCACTTCACGAATAATATCTCAAGTAGTACGGATTCTGTACGTCTGGTCCTAAGTCCTCCTTGCAAGCACAGATTCGAGGCCCAGACGTACGGAATCTATACTACAAGGAACGAAAAGGCCACAGGGACCAACAGATGCGAAGCAGTTGGTACACCCACGAACGGTTAAAATGGCGGAAGGTTACTTCACGAATAATATCTTAAGGCCGTCGCCCTTTTCTTAAAAAACAAAAGGGAAAAGAGAAAAAGAAAAGAGGTGGAGTCGGGAAGAGCCCTCACCTCTCCATTCGCATGAGCATTGCGCAGCTCGGTGACAATTTGGATCGGATTGAGACCGGCATTTTCCGCTAAAGTGTACGGGATAACCTGCACAGCCGAATCACAACAGAGCCCCAAAACAAGTCAGCTAGGAACATTCGCCCCTAGCACATTACCCAACGCCACAAAGCCACCGAGAAACACAGAGGAGACCTATACCAAAAAAAAAGAAAGAAAAAAAAAGAAAAACAGGAACAATACTAACTAGAAAGCAAACCCTGCAAGGACTTCTGTTCCAGATACAGTAAAAAAAAAGAAAAAAAAGGAAGAATACATGTCACATTTCTTTCCGGTCCGGGCGGTACAGTATTACTTCTCTCCTCGGTATCTCTAGAGTATAAACATGCTATAAGTTCATATAACCTCCGGGAGAAGATTTGATTTGTGCTCGGCCGTGAGATAATATATAAACATACCCACACCCATGGTCACACCTCAGGCAGCACACCCCCTTTTTTACCCCGTTAAAAAAGCTTCTTGGCCATGATGATATTACACACAACCAACCAAACCCGTCCCCTTGAAAAACAGATATTGTGCTCGGATATCTTCTCCCAAGTGCGAAACGCCTTTCGGCGAAAGCTGGCTGGCACGCGGACGTGGTGAAGCCTTCCTGTTTTCCTTTGGCTGAGCTTTCGGCAAGCAATTGTTCTTCCTTGCTCTCTTGTCCCCCCTTGACCAGCCCCAATACCTCTCCCACTCTGATATGGGCCAAAAAACTGCTTGCCTCCTGGAAGTTCCGCCACAGCAGATACCAGACTGGCCCGCACTGCGTGCCTCCTGGTTGTTCCGCTGGGGCAGATGACGCAATGCACGACGGGTTGCGTGCCGCCGTGCCCTGCTTCGTCTGATCACCAAATTAAATAGCCCGTGAAGCGGCAGTAACTGTCAACGCCCAGTAAATTAAGGCCACCATCGATCGGACTCCTGATGGATGAAACGGACCGCTTCGTGTTTGCCGCTATTTTCTATCCAACTCAATCGAATGAGGTTGAGCTGGCGCGCCGCTGCCGTTCCATGCCCTCGGATATGTAACAGTCGTACAAAAGTAACAAAACCCAATTGTCTCGTTATATTTGTTGTCCGCACTCCACGCATACTTCTGGAACACCTACGACCCCCAAAGCCACTGTTAAACATACGAGTACCTCTGAGCGAGCCTCGTTTTTCCGTGGCGGATTTGCGCTGTGCGCCAAAGCTTTGACAAACGGCGAGAGGCACACTTCTTTTCTTTTGCTGCTGGCACCATCAGCCATTTTGGTCCCGTAGAGCCGTTCACCTGAAACCTGCGGACTGGCTCAATTTCGATTCTCAAGTTTGCCTGCGACGATGTACGGGCAGTTCTGTGCTCGTTTATCATCGTAGTAAATGTGCTGCTTTTTTTCCTGTCCACTTCATGTCGAAAAATCTGCAGTCCCTCTCAAGAAACCCTCTCACGCGCAAGTGCAAGCTGAACACTACAGAAAACAAACATGTTCTCCCCCACAGTCCCTCAGATTTCTCGTCAGTTTTTCAAGGCGATGAAGTGACTTCCACCGCACCCGAGCACAAAAAACCACCAGCCAAAAGGAGGCCCATTACGATTCATTTTTCTTTGGTGTGCAGGGCGTTTTGATATTCCGGAAAAAGAGACTCAAAAGTACTGGTGGCTTGAAGTCTCATACCCCCACCATAGGGTTTTGCCAGGCGCACCTGCCCCTCGATTCCCCATAAATCTTCACAGGGCATTTAGGATTGAGCCAACTACAGTTTGCAAGAACTCAGGGGAGCTGATCGACTCCCCCCCCCCCCCCCCCC